AGACTGCTTGTGCTAGAGGAGATCCCTCCAACTTAAATAATTCAGATGATTCCATGTTTACTGACCGAAGTGAACTGATTTTCATTCAAGGATTCCCAGCTCAGTTTTGCTGTTAATTTAGTGTCATAGTGTGTATCCTGTCATGCTTATTTGAAGAAAAACTCCCATTGACTTCAGTACATTTGGACTTGCTTTTGCTTTAACTGAAGTGGTGCCATTGTAACAGGGAGRAGCTGTTTTTCAACTACTGGAGCTCTGGAATGCTGAAAACAGCAAATCTCTCAAATCTAGCCTAGGAGATGACAGGATATGTTTAAGTTAGGATGCAGAGTCACTTGGAAAATAGCCCAAGTGCCTCTGAAAAGTAAATTACAAGTATAATCTCTTTATTGAGCTGGAAAGTACACCCTCAACAGGGAAAGGAGAATGGCGGAGATTTTTTTTTCCTATTTTTATTTCCCCCTGCCTTTTTTCCCTAAATTGAGACCAACTATGGACTAACAGGACTGTGTTTAGAGCAGAGATATTTGCACAGTCATGGAATAACATGGGTTTTTTTTTATCAGGGTAGGGCTTCTCTCCTACTAAGGTTTCTTAATTAGTTCTACACCCTGCCCATGGAGTGGGAGAATCTGGAAAACTCTTTCCTGGGAAGAACTTTCCTCATTGCTTTCCCTTACTTCTCCCCTCACCTTGTGTGATGGATTACATACCAGCAGTCATTGCTGCATGGACCCTCTCAGAAGCAAAATAAGTCCATGAGTCTTCTGTGAGCATCTTCACGTGAATGCTGACCTCTGTTATTTAGTTAGTATTGACTGCATTGTCTTTCTGTAAAGAGCAATCAGTAATGATKTTGAAAAACACAATTTGTTCAAGAAGGTCTTGAGATCCATTTTATATTTGAGTTTTTCCAGAGGTAATGACATAAGGCTACAATATCTAACTTGGATAGGCTTCATTGACCCCATAAAATGCAGTTATGTATGAAATCTTAGTGACTATGACCTACATTAGCACCTGCCTGCTGTATGCTTGCAGAAGAGTAGAATGTGTGTGAGGTATTTGTATATGGATCTATGATCGATTAGGTTCCATATAACATATAAAAGTGCAAATTGTTCATCTTATTTCTTCCCTGTCTCTGTGTCCACCAGTCCTGCTTTCATGACATCTCCTTGTCAGCTGTGTGTAAATGTATGTGTGAAACAGTGGGTGCTTGGTGCTGGAAGGGGTTATTTGCTTTCTCTCTTGAGGAAGATGGACCCCAAGCTGGGCGTCAGGAAGGAAAGGATGATTCTCTTTGTCATCTGCTTTCTTAGTGATGGAGTTAGAACACCGTGAACACTATACAGCAAGGTACAAATTATGAGGGGTATGAAGGGGTATGAAAGAGGAYTCTTCTGCGTTGCCTTAAGTTATTGTACAGTTCTTCCTTCCCTGTGAAGTCAGGACTGAATTTACCCTGAATTGTCTGTGTACTTTAGTGTTTCTTAACCAGTGCCTTTTCTCTGTGTGCATTTTCACTGGATAAAACAAGAATTCCTCAGTGTACCTATGATAGGTCTATAAACCACAAAATTTCATTCTGTCTTCTGTGTTTGCCATGTGGGGTTTTAGTTCAGGAACAAAGATGAGGGATTAGATACTATCTTGGTGTTTACTTGACTTTGAAAATTCCAAGGTAATGTGAAAAGGCTTCTTGTAGAACAGCTCAGTGTGCACTCTTGTTTAGTTTGCTGCTTGCCTCGTGCATTTATGCAATGGTCTGTGTTGTGGCTGATCTCCTGGAGCTTTCAGACCTCTTACATGCCTTCATTTGTTTATTGTAGGAATAGGAGTTTCCAGTAATGCTGTTTATACTAAAGTTGGGTGAACCATTGCAGCAAGAAGAGAAGCCACCATGGRCCTTTGCCCTGAACTCAAAGCAAACTCTTTTGTGATTTTTTAAGTTCTGTTTCAGTTTTCAGTGTCACTATGCTTTGTTCCATCAGGACTGGAAATGGGTGCCAAAATATCARTGCTATTTCCAGTGTCAGCCTGAGATTTCACAAGCAAATCTGCTCCTGTGCCAGGGARTGTGGAGTTTCTTAGACCTCGCATRTTCCAGTGGAGRCTAYAACCTTCTTCAACTCCTGCTCAGTGCAGCCGGCTCAAAGTGCTTATTCAGCGAGGCTTGCCCRTCACTTTTGTATGGGACAAGACACTGGTTCTTGAACTAATAAGCATTCCTGGGGGAATGTGTGCAGATGATTKCTTGCAGATGAAATACTGAACCAGCATGGTGTAGCTGCTCTTCAAGCAAGGGTATAGAGATTGTTCAGCTTTGGCCTCTTCCCTGCTAAATATGTTGTAATGTCATCACCACTTCTGTGACATTATAGTGGAGCTGCCTAGTGCAGAATAAGGAAGTAACCTCTCTAGGCTCAGTCGGTTTTGTTTTGACAACAAAATGCGACTAATATGCTTCTGGAAGCTGAGTTTATCCAAGTTTATTTGCTGTCCCATGGACTTTCCTGTTTCATATCCCGGACTTGGGTCTAGTATTGAATTATCCATCTAGTAGAGTCTGATTAGTAGGGCYGATCTTGGATGTAATGAATTCAGGTTGTGGCTGTTTCTTGTTTCTGCTCTTGAGGATGAAAAGTTTTCCTTCTTCTCTCCCTCTCTTTTTTTCTCTGTTTATTGCTGTATCAGAGAATGATCTGATGTTTGTTTTAACACTGAGATGAAGCTGAATTCACTGCTGTACAGCACTCTTTAAAGTTGGTGTGCTACTTGAATATTTATATCATCCTGACRTTTGCTTATGTTAGAGAAGGCTTTATTTCCTTGGAATATTTATCACAGTATCCAGGAATTTCCATGTTGACCTGCTGCTGAATCTGATTGTTGTATGTAATTACCTGGGTCCAAGCCCAGTTGCCTTAAGGGAAGCTAACTTTCAAAGAACAGCAGCCACCTCTGTGGCACTTGCTAGCTGAAGGAAGAGCTGGCAAGGATTTTTCTTGCACTGACGTGGAGCAGCCTGGAAAGAAGACTCATACCTCACTTCAGCTACGTGGGTAGCTCTGTCTAGCTCATTATGGGGAAAATACAGAGTCATTTCCCTGCACACCTGGCATCATGGAGTGGTTGCCTATATCTGATGTGATCTGTTGACCTAGTTATGGTCTGGAATGGAAAATGGGATTTGACATATTTTGCATCCTGTTTTTTCCCCTTGATTTACACCCTTTCCCGAAGGTTAAGGGGGAAGGGGTTGATGCAGAATCCAGTTCCTGCCTTCCTGACACACTTTGATGCTCTGACCCCCTTTGTGCATAGAATAGAAATGACCAGCTTGAGGCTTGATCAGACCTCAGCCTCCTGTTGTTTCCCATCAGCTTATATGACTCTCCTGGGCTTCGGTGGCTGGAACTGCTCTTTTGCTGCTGTGCATAAAGAGGCACCGTGATTTATGAATCAATTAATCACTGCATGCTGAGGAGCTGTTCACGGTAGTTAAACAGTGAAAATAAAATGCTTGAGTCTATAATAAAGATGGATCATAATGAATATGACCCTCTACCAATGAATTCTCTCCCTCCCTATATTATACCCCCTACCCACTTTCCCAGCACAGCCAAACTATCAAGACATGAAATTTGTCTGTCTCGATGCATGGGGTTCATCAAATTACTTAATTACTTGATAAGAGTGCTGTCTGTTTGGGGGATTTTTTTCCCCTTACATACACATGCACTCTCTGACTACAGTTTGTGGCTAAAGCTGTTAAAGCCACAAAGATGAAGAGAAAAAAGACTCTCATACTATTGATTGTAAATCTTTTTGACTAGTCATAAGAAAGTCCACCAGTAAGTCTCCAAAAATTAGGGAGGGGCAGGTGATGTTTGTCCTGCCTGATTTGTAAAACCACAGAAATGTGATGTGAAAATTCCAAGAAATATTTCCATCAAATAACTGTCACTTTTTGCTCTGCGCAACGCACACATCGTTGCTGTGAATTTCTAAACAGTGTGATACTGTAAGAACCAGGCAAGTTTGGTAACAAACCTGCTTTAGGATTGCTGTTAGGCTTCACAATTTGCACTTTGCAATTTGGGCCAGTGTTTACTGATGGTAGTCAGATCAGGGTGCACGTTGCCCTGTGGGGAGCACCACTGATGTTCAAATATCTACCCATGAGGTAAGGCTATGAAACAAGAGGTTTTAAACCTGATTATGTGGTTTTGCACCAAAACTATGGTTTCATGGAAGAAAATGATTCTTAGATTATTAATTCTATACATGTTGTATTTTTTAAAGAAAATTGTTACTTTGTTTTGTGTTATCAGCAGATACCCAAAATAGTGATAGAACATTTAATTAACAAAAGGGTGGGTTTTTTTGTGTTTTTTTTTCTTTTTTTTGGCTCAAAAGTATATTCTTGGTAAATGGCTTGATCAACTATCCATCTGTTTTGGATTCTGAAAAAGATTTTTTGGAGGGTGGTTCTACTTTTGTTTTTTAATTGTTCTTCTTTATATTTGTCTCTGAAGGGTTAATTTTTTTGTGCACAGTATTTCCTGGGGTTTCTGAGTACCAAAAGATGATTTTTTGTGAACCTTGCTACAAGTCCACTGGCTACAGCGGAGTTGCTCTTAATCTCACCTGTGTAACTAAGAGTAGATTTCATTCAAGCCAGAAATTAGGTGCAGTGGTGTGAAGCAGGTTAATTCCTTCTCTCTGCCATGCATTGAAGCTTGCAGTGGAATTATAATATTTGCCACTTATCAGTAAAAGTAAAAGAATTTTTTCTTTCCAACACAATCTAGTTTCTCAATTTTGTTCAGCTCTGCTGCTGGCATATGTTGACTATATCTAATGGCCTTTGTTTGCATTCTAAGCTTATCTCATAAATTTGCTTTTGAAATGCAGTAATAATGTTTCACTGTGGTGACCATGGTTAAACATTTCTCTCCTGTCCTCCCCCTTACCCTTCTCTGTTTGATTTTTAGGACCCAGGTTTCTCTTCGGTGATTCACGAGAAGCTCCAGGTTCCCAATACCATCCGTAAGGCATGGAATGAGAAGGACAACAGATGTGACGTTTGTGCCACGCACCTGAACCAGCTGAAGCAAGAGGCCATTCAGATGGTGCTGACCTTGGAGCAAGCTGCCAACTCAGAACATTACAATGCCTCCCCAGGCTCTCCCCCGCCTCTGTCCACTGTCCCCACGTTACTGAGTCCCCGGCACATCGGCAGCCTGCAGCCCAGGGACTGGGCGTACGTGCCTGCTCCATACACTCCCTCTAATTATACTGGCTTCGTTGCCAACAAGCACAGTGGGAAACCCAACAGTCTAGGAATCGGCAATGGGGTGGAGAAAAAAATTGGCTCTCCTGGACACCAAGCCAAGGTCAGCTTTCAGATGGCCACCAGCCCCAGCAATGGCAACGTTCTCAACTCTGTGGCTATCCAGGCCCACCAGTACCTTGATGGCACCTGGTCTTTGTCAAGAACAAATGGAGTCACTCTCTACCCCTACCAAGTAAGTATTTTCAAATAACAGAACGTGTTTTTTTTCCTTCTCGTTGACGCGTCCATGGGCATACTAACATTGCTTGCTCCTGTGGGGTAGAAGTTGAGCCACTTGGATTGTTGAGCAGTAGAACAAGGAGTGCCATAAATCCCTGTTTCCCTGACAGGGAATCGAGTTGAGGGAGACACASATCAAAAGCAGTATTAATGAGAACACCTTTTATTAATTCAGCTGTTATTAGTAGCAGAACCAAGCTGTTGTTTCTAATGGCAGATAACAAATCCTATAGTATTTGCAATTATTTGCTCACACAGTCCCCACTCACTTTTGCTTCGAATACTCAGATGGAGCAACAACTGGGAGCCAGCCACACTTGTTTACTCCCAGGTGCAAAGTGGCACTAGTGCACCAGTGATTTCTGAGTTGGTATTGAGGAAGAATCCKCAAGATCTTTTATTCCACCACACGTGTGTGTACGATCTTTTTGAGTAGATACAGCAGGTGCTAACTTCATTGACTCACTCTAAATTGCCTACATCCTTGATGCCAGTGGATTCACCAGATCCAGTAATCTGCAGCTCTTAGCTGTTCTGGGAGATTTTCATGCACTTCTTAGCGTGTTCTGTTCTTCCTCTTTGGTCTGCTGTTTTCTGGTCACCACACCCATWAGTGCCTGTAAACCCATTCAGGCCAGAGGGCACAGAAGAATCTTTTGTATGACAGGAAGAGCTTTTCTGAAGCACTTAACTGCAGCTGGTGGCGTTTTCAGAGTGCCCAAACACGTGTGGATTCTGACATAAGCCTGTTCTTCACATGTTCTCACAAAYGTCCCTGTTAGCTTTCTTAGGCGCATAAACAACTTTGGAAGTTGGTCTTTCTACCAAATTACGAACATATTGCAAGATAGATCCCTAAATTAATATTTAACTTCTATTAGTATGACTAACTGATATTACAGCCAGAAAAAAGTGATGTTATTCATAAGAATTAAGATGTTGTCATGCACCAAAGAAAACTAGGTAAAACCAGCAATGAAGTACAGTTAGTTTATCTGGAAAATATGTGACCTTATGCTTTTGTGGATTTATGCTCTACTGAACCTGAATCACATGTGGGTAGGTCAGTGTGTGATCATAGTTTTGATCAATGAAAAAAATCTGATCTATGTTTCAGCTAACAAAAAAGSCAAAACTAAACAAAGAATGCACATTAACAAATCTGTATAACTGTTATTTGTATTAGGAAAATTAGTTCCATTTTATTGCATTCACAATCTTTTAGGTTAATCTTCTGYGAAAATGTAGTTTTTGTTTACTTTTTCTTAATGTTTGCATTTCTTTGATGATTAGTTTAGTCTTRAAAATATTCACAAAGAAGAATCTAATATTCAGAATTGTCCAGACTGATTCTGTAGTTTGGCTCCAGAAAAATTCAGGGCGCTTCCCTAACCTTTCCTTTCAGTAATGCTGAAATAGAGAAGATTGCCTGCTCTCAAGACACCCTTCAGCCAAAAAACAAACAAAGCGCCAACACAAAACCCAACCAAAAGGCCCAACCAACAGCAAAACAAACAAAAAGTGACAAACCAAAAAAAAAAAAACAGCAAAACAAACAAAAAGTGACAAACCAAAAAAAAAAATCCCAAACAAACCTAGCAATGTTGGTCTGTGTTAGAATATACTGATCAAGTTTCTGATCTTTTTTCTTTCTGATTCTATTTTCAAATGTTAAAATTCTCCGTATACTCAAGTTGTCACATTTAATTCTCTAGCTGGGAAATAATAATGATAGCCTTTGTCTTTAAGCAAACTAAAAGGATTTTAATGTTTGTTTACATAGTATCTGGATSAGATTGGGAATTAGTCAAGCAAGAGGCAAAAGTTTGAAAGGTAATTTGTTTGTAATTTCAAATACTGGTAAGATGCAAGCTTTGCCTTTTTCCAGCTTTTGTGTGCAGAAACCAATCTTACTTGATACACATTTTCAGAATATTTTAGAGCTCTGTTCCATATAAATATATTTTTGTATTGTACTTACAGCTGCAAAACTCTGCTGGGGAAGAGCACAAGGAAAATGAATCTGTTACCTCATCTTAATTAGAACTCTTCTTGATTTGGAAGTGAACAAAAAAAAGTGGTGCTAGCCCACATACTTGTGAATGCCTATATATTAATTAAGTTTTCTTCCCTTCCCTTAAGAATAGAGTAGAAGAACCTCATTGTGCATTAGGTAAGAGGAGTAGAAAATAATCTCTTGCGATAAAGAGCCTTGCACTTCACACAGAGAAGAGCAGTACCCTTCCACAWCATAATCTTGTTAAATAGATGTGCAGGGAGAAAGCAGTCTCATGGCTCTAGACTTAATGGCACCTGTGGTAGACACCTCCCATTGTAAATCAGCTTTTGTTGGACAGTCTAGATAACTTGAAAGAAATGGTTGAGCTCCTTGAAAACTGACTGTGATGTCTTCCTTAAAGTATCATCAAAAAAAAAAAAAAAAAAAAAAAAAAAAAAAAAAAAAAAAAAAAAAAAAGCAAACATTAGTTTGAAAGGGACGTTCTGTGGCTCAGAATTGACTCTGCAATTTTAAGCACCAAAAAGTATTCCAGCAGTTGTAAGGTGTAGGATCTTACACCTTTCCTAGCATATTCCCTTCCAGACTGCCTGAAATTAAAACCTGGTTATGGTTTTAATTACTATTTTTGTTTCCAGTTCCAGTAGAAAAATAATAAAAATAAATAGAATGATACTTATAAAAAAATGGAGTGCTGTTATATTTTAAAGCTCAGCAGCTAGTGTAATTTAGGACAAATTTTGAATTACATACCACTATTCAATTAATTTTGCAGAATSAGCACTTGCTATCACAAGTAAGAAAAACAAATGGGAATTTATACATTATCAGGTTTAGTAACGTATTACATGTTTAAAATCTGAAATGATGGAAGTGATACCATCTTAAACTGCCAATGCATGTCAGATATAAAAAGTGTCTAGTAATTTCATGGGTGCATAATTGGAACTAGTCAATGGAGTCTCCTAAGAACATCAGAGGAATAGCTGCTAAGAAATTTTTAGGCAAAACTGATTCTATCTGGAGATTAGGAGATGGTGGAGGTGACCCCACTGTCCCTGTTTTATGTGACTCCATATTTAGGTACGCCTTGAAATAGAAACAAAATTCTATGATGTGCCCTAGGCCTGACTCAAAAGGGGCTGAATCAAATTTTGATGGTGAGTGGTCCTTTTAAAAACCAGGGAATSAGAGTCAGGGAAATGGAATTGATTGTTCTTAAAAGAACATGGCCCATTACAACCCTCCTGTAGAAATGGGAATCCTGAACTGTTTACCTGGTGAGGGTAAAAGTAGCCTCTTTCTGTTTAATACATGTAGAAAAATACCAGCCAAAATCCAGTAGAATTTGATTCAGTCTGAAAATGCTTCTTCCATGCTCATTGGCAGGTAGCATTTGCATATAGCCCATGGATCAGACTGTCTTAACACTTGTAAAGACTTTTGTGGATCTCCCTGTCATTCAAAGGGATTTCAATCCTTCCCTGCTCAGAGAAATCTCATTTAAATGATTGAGGTTTTACCTGAGAAGGGCTGTAATAATTTGTGCAGCTGCTGGTGTGAATTACAGAATACCACAGTGTTAASTCACTTTTGTTAGTTACCAATTATTATCTAGCACTTCTAAAGAAAAAAACGCCTTTGGGCCTGGGGTACTAATGTAGGAATGAAAAGTCCAAATTCCTTGATGAAATTAGTGCTTGTTGTAATTTTTATAGAGAATGCGATATTAAATTCAATGCATAACACATTTATTATTTTATTATCCCAAGCTGATAAGGTAGCTAAAACAAAACCACCCCATTAAAGAATAAGGTTTGAATCCTTAGGAGTTCAGATGGAKTCAGGATTTGCTTTCAAAGGGAGAGGAATTTATAATAGTGACTAGATTAACCTGGTTGCACTTTTCCTAGGGTTAAAGCACTCCAGTTTTTACTAAAATATGAAATTACCTTCATGGTTCTCATGTCGGTGTACCTTTAAACCAAAAGCATGGTGTTAACGTTGTTGTGGTGTGAGCTCCAGAACATAAACTAGTARGCATTTCCTTGGTCTTCTAATTACTCTCCTGGATCTGCATGAGAATCTTTTCATGTCTGGAAGTTGATAAATTCAGAAGGCAAACAAAAGGAAATTTAGTGCAGTGTGTTTGTTAGATCTGAGTGACAGGAAGGTCAGAATGAGCCCAAGAACTAGAGAAGATCAACTGTCCCAGGAACAATTTAGGCCATAAAAGGGAATGATGGGTAGCAGAAAATGTGGGGGCTGATGTGGATGAGCGCCTCCTGCTCCTGACCTTGAGGCTGTGATGTTTGATTTTGGTAAGCAAAAAGACAGTGCATGTAAGGATTTGAGTAGGGGCATTGTGAACATAACAAATYGACGGAAAAAGTGTTCCTTTCTTCCTTGCACTTAAAAAGACTCTTTTGACCAAAACTTTGGAAAAATGAGATCTTAAACTACTGAGAGCCTCTTGGCCCCGGGCATAATGATCTCAAGCCTATTCAGAATTTTAAAAGGCTTTGTTTGTGTACAATTGATGAAAGCCTACAGTATGTGCTTTCTTTTTCCTCTTTATGCATAACGTGTGTTTAGAACAGTTCTGCGAGAAAGTACCAGCTTGTTCTGGAGCTTTGCAGTGATGAATGAGTTGTTTGGAGTTTACTTAGGTCATGGCTGTCTYATAACACACAAGTTGATTCAGGCACAGACTTTTTAAAAGAAACTGGTAATGATTAGATTTAGGTACAAGATGGAGAGCCAATTCCTATGTGTGAGGTATTGCTATCCAGAATTTTGATTCCAAGCTTTTTTCGAAGTCTTCACTGTGTAATTTATTTCTCTTCCCTTTGCTGCTGCTTCTGTTGCTTCTTAGTGTTCAGCAGGGTAAAGATAAAATGTTAATGGTTGTTACGTTGGTAGCAGGGTAATTTAAG